CCCCGGCTGGCCTCTGCCCTGCACTTGGTCCTGGGCCCCGGCTCCCTAAGTCAACAGGGAGGCGTCCCTCTGTCTCCATCCGTGATTCCTGCCGCGCTCTAGGCCTCCCGGCAGCTGGTGAGGGCTGTCCCCCTCGGCAGGTGGGGAAACCAAGGCGCGCGGGGTCCGTCGGCCGACGCCGAGCTGGCGCCCTCCTCTCCCCTCCACCCCGTCGGCTCCAGGACTCCTAGCGCCGTCCTGGCCTCTTGATGGGCCCCGACTCAGCTCGGGGCCGCCCCACCCCTCGCGGCTGGGTCTCAGGCCGGTCCGAGTGATTCGCGTTGGTTGAATTGACGGGGAAAACTCCCAGTTGTCAGGGCAGCGGTCGCACCCTCTTTGGCCAGTTCGCTGCTGCGGGTCACTGTTACCTTCGTGGTGATTTGTGGCATGTTTTCTACTTTCCGAACAAGTTAAGGGAAGGATACAGTATAGAGACCTAGCAGGTCCAATGAAAAGGGATTTTTTTTTTTTTAAGGCAGCATAGCCAATGTTTTGAGTGCAGTTAGAAGTGAGTTCTTCATATCCAGCCGTAATCCCTATATAGAAACCCACCCTGTTCTCTTTGTTAGATGATAGTAATTGAAATATAGTACAGTAAGGACACACAGTGTTGTTAATACTGTAGCAGGGGAAAGCAAGGGCCTATCCAAGCGGCCATTCTTTTCTATTCTTAGCTAGAAAGCACTGGGGAGACCTATAAGGACAATGTTTTCTAGAATTTGGCCTGGACTCGCCTCCTTGAGGAGCCCTAGGGGCATGAGGGGATAGTGTAGGGATGTGTGGAGTGTCGACTGTTAGAGTATTTAACAAAAGTGAATGTGATGTCATTGTATCTTGAAACTCAATTTGGTATACTCAGGTTTTATTTCTATGACTTTTTTAAAAAAAGCTACATCTTGGGTATTTTGAATATGTATACATTTAAAACAGCCCTGCCTAAATTTGTAAAACATTTTACAGCTTATTTAACATTTTACATAAAAGTCATAGGCTAACTGAATGGGGTATTATTAGTTCAGGGCAAATGGAAGGGCAAAGACTTGGAGTCCAGAGACGTGGGTTTCCATGCGGCTGTTTCCTGGCTCTGTGATGTGGAGCAAATCACTTAACTGTGATTAATCTATTTCCTCATCTATGCCGTGGAAGTAAGAATATTTTGTAGGGTCATTGTAAAAATCAGGTAAAAGAATTCATTATGAAAACACACACCGTGTTTTTAAAGTTTATAAAAATAAGCACTGAAAATACTCTATGCGCTGTAAAATATAATTTTAAAAAGTATTTTAATATGGATCACCTTACTTTGCCAGGGCATGCATTATCCCTACTTTCATGAGGCCTCAGGGAGGTTGTAACCTGAAAGGTTATATCACTAGCCATAGTGCTAAGATTTGAACCTAATTGGTCTCGTCCAAAAATGATGTGTCTGGGTACCAACACATACCATGTGCGGTTTCGCCAGAGGAAGCAAAGAATCAGCTGCTCTTTCTTCCTGGTACTAATATAGCTATTTGTGATCACTTTGAGAATCAATTTATCAATATAAAAAATGTGTTGAATTTCATTGGTGGTATCAAATAATATTTTTAAATTAAAAAAAACTCCCTTGTTTTATAGCTTAAAATGAGTATCTAGTGTTAATACTTACAACCATGAATTGTTATCATGAATTACTACAGAATCAATTATATACAGGGTGGGGAAAAAGTAGATTTACAGTTCTGACTATGTGAAACAATTTATTCTTGTATTATTTTTTTAAATATATTTTATTGATTTTTTTAAAAAATATATTTTATTGATTTTTTACAGAGAAGAAGGGAGAGAAATAGAGAGTTAGAAACATCGATGAGAGAGAAACATTGATC